TAAATCAATACAATATACTGACATTTTAATCAACTTAGTATTAAACCTCCATAATAATCAAAACGTTATAAAAGCAATACAGTAATAAAAATGAAACAATTAAAACATAATCAAAGGGAAAAATATGCAATACAACGCCAATGCGCACAAATCAAAATACAGTAAAACTTTTCAAAAACGGTACTTTTGAAAAGCGGATTCTCTCAAAAGATGGTATTTTTTCAATGAAATAAAGAAAAAAGTTCTTTATAGAACGGTAATTAAGGTTTGATTCGCTTAAAATGCCCACTTTTGAAAAAAAAACAAAATTACCACACTCGCCCACTCTTTAAAGTTTTTACTGTAAACTTTAGTTTTTTGAATAATAAAAAAGTTTTATCATTTAAAAATTGGCGAGCTCCGAGTTGTGACTTAAATATAAATGAGCATTTGCAGTAATATTTGAAATATTAATAATAAATAGATAATACAAGTAACGAAAAAAATATAGTGTATCATGTTGTTTGTAAAAAATACATCAAAATATTAACAAGTAAGTTGAAAGTTATGGTAAACGGTTGAAATTGTGCACAAGAAAAAATTACAAAAATATTGCAAGACTAATGACCAAAGTACTTTAATTATTTTTAATTATTATCATATTTTTCACAAAATCGTAACTGAAAAAAATGACGCTTTTATGATACAAGTTTAGTAACTCCCCGAAGGGCTGCTATTTTCTTTTGGTTTTAATAATAAAAGTGTTTCAATCACTGCTTTTAGCTTTTTAGTACATTCACTTTTGTAAACTCAAAAAATAAAGTGAACGATAATATAATTTATAAAACAAAAAATCAAATAACGTTGAAACCTCTATGTCAAATAATGACTTTTTACTGTTAACGTGTTTTTGTCATAACCAAGTCGATCTTACATTTCTGTGTTTTTATTGTAAACTGTTTTTCAAAAGTCGGTACTATGATGTCCCGATTTTTTGCATTTATTTTGTTTATTATTTTTGGGAATCGTTTTTTTTGTAATAAATTCGCTTATTTTTTCCAAGTAAAATTGAGAAAAACGGTCTTCAAAAAATATTTTTTTACTTGAAGAAAATTTAAGCATTAAAAAATTACATATAAAATTTGAAATAACCGGATTTTTGTTTTTGAAATACACGTGATTGATCCCAAAAGTGCATTTTAGTACAAAAGCAAATAAACTTAATGTCAATATTTTCATTATCAAACGTTTTATTAATTAACGAAATATTCACAAAACAAAAGCTTAGTTCGAAGATTAGTATGCTTAGTTGTGTTGTCACAAAAACAATAAAAATAAAAAAATGATTTGATAACTTATCTTTGTTGGGTTTTATAAAGTCGACATTTTTTTGAGCATTTCAGTGAGAACATCTTTTTTAAAATATCCAATAACAAAACAATATTGTTATTTTGTATTATTTTTCTAGTGTTGCCCTTTGACAATTTTGACTAATGCCTGTCAAAATTATCAAACATTTGCTGTAATTATTTTTTGGTGTTTTTGGAACTCTTTATTTCATTATTTTTTATTCAGAGAAGATAACCACACGTTTGTTTTTAATTCAAAATATTTTTTAACGAAAGTAATTATCAGTTAAAACTCAACACAAACAACACCATCCCAATTCACTTAAACGTTCATTGTTGTGCTTTTAGGTCAACAATGCTGTGTATATGTTGCGAAGTATCAAGTTATGGTCAAATCAAATAACGGGATCGAGTTTTTTGGAAAAAGATGGCTAATATTCCAACATTTTCTCGAATTTGTACGAAAATAATTGAACGGGATTGGTATTTTTTCAAAATAAAGTCTGTACTTTCGATTTTTTGTTTTTTGTTTTTTAGGAAAAATAAAAAAACGGGACTTTAGGAAGTTCTAAAAATATGACAGTACCGACTTTTGAAAAACAGTTTACATAATAAAAAGAAAAATAATTAATATAAAACGTAATTGTCTTTTCTTGGTGTTGTCACACTGGCATCACCAACACAACATTCAAATATGTTGAAATTTGGAAAAAATACAGGTTTTTTGATTTTTAAAATATGACTTTGAACTTAAGTTATTGTCATTAACCAGTTGATGCTTCTTGCACCGCAGTCATTTTATAAATTGAAATGATATAACTTTGCTTTACTTCAAATAAATAAAAAGAATAAAAACCAACGTTTAATTTAATACTCTTAACATTATTTTTCTCGATATGCAATCAATTTTCTTGTGTCATAATTATGAATATTTTTTTCTTCATAACATAACTTTTAATTGATTCACGATAATTATCGAAACATATTATAACTCGATTAGAACAATATAATAATTAAATTGAAATCCCATAATAGATAATTTTTATATTACTTCATTTTATTAGAATAAAATGAAAAAAAACATAATT